TCCCCCTTTCCCCCTGCCACTCAACACTTGATGAATGGAAGTTTTCGTGGTTGCGATCCCGACGGCGATGATGAGGAATGTCTGATCGAAGACGAGATTGATGAATCCGGACGGAGAGCAATCCTTGTCAGTAATGATGGGATCAGTGCTAAGAGAGAGAGAGAGAGAGAGAAAGAGAGAGAGAGAGAGAGAAAGAGAGAGAGAGCGAGAGAAAGGAAGAGAGAGAGCCTGGATTTTTTTTCTTCTTTCTGTATGATAAATGATGGGAGCTCCCTCTTCCCAAACACAATGAAGATCCTCATGGAATCCAGAAATAGAGTTCCTCTTCACACCGTGACGATACGACACGGTTCGATCCACGCCCAAGTCGAGAATCGCTAAGTACGTGCCACGCGGACCAGGGGACGAGGACCAGGGCACGAGGACCGGAAGTCGATGGACTCCCGGAGTCTCCCTGTCTCCGAAAGCATTTTTCCTTTGAAAATCCGAGGATTCCAGATCTCTACGGGCGGAGATGTGCATGCAGAGCGAGGGGGGACTCCCGACTGATTCCATTCGCTGCTTCTCTCGTTCCCTTCCCGTAGTGGAGTCGGGAGGTGGAGATTTTTCGTGACGTCACTGTTTAACACTGCCTTCCGCCACTGATGAGATGCAGTAATTCGCGTTCGATATTCGTGTCGTTGTTAGACGCGTGGTGGGATTCACTCGAGCGTGTTCTATCGCTGGGTTTAATATATGATGTGAAATTGATGCATGCGACTCGGCCACCGAACAACCTGAAGCCAAACCCGAAGAGGACGGCTTTAAAAATGGAAGCGAAATGAGCCTGCTCTCGAGGGGCACGAAGGCGTAGCCTTCGGTGCGGCGTGGTCTTCCAGAAATCGCCGTTTATTTTAGAAGACCTTCATATTATATTGGAAGAAATGTGATTTTAGAAGACAGAGCATTGCGAGTTCGTTGTGTGTTTGGACTCGTGCTACCTTGAGGCGATTGGTGCATTGTCTTCTGATTGCTCCCCCGCCCCGCCCCGACCCGCCCCAGATGAATTCTCGAGCTCAGCCTATGTTTCCGAACCGCGAGGATACGGCCACGGCGACTGTGACGATTCCGTCGGGTTCCCGGCCAGTACTGGAGCCGGTCGTTCGAGGACCAGCAGAACTTCCATTCGATGGCATAAATAAGTTTCCTCGTCGCTGCTTGTTGCCGGGATTCCCGGCGCGAGACGACTTAGACCCGTCCCAGTTCTTTTGCGACCCAACGGCCAGGGAAACGTGAGGAATGGGAGACCATTATCCATCGTGATCCCCTCCCCGAGGAAAATACCACGTACGAATAATCGTATTAAGAAGACGAAGGGGATCCCTCCCTGCTCGAACGTGGGCAGGGAGGGATCCCCTCCTCTTCCACGGCTACCACGCTTTGAATGGGTGTTGACGCGACTCGGCAGTCACTGAACCTCCTCTTACATTCAAGAAATGGTAACCGAGAGCGTCGCTAGATGGCAGGAGGCGTCGCAGCCCCTTTCCCCTCCTCTCTCACTCTCTCACGACTCACGGGTAGGCCTACGTTTCGGAGCTTTCGCGTTCGTCGTCGTTTCATCGTTCCTGCACGCGCTGCAGGAAAAGTCCTGCATGACAACGAAATGTACAAGTTTGTCCTATGCTACGAAGCGGAAGGAATCTTGCTATTGTCGCCACGGTCCACGTAACGGGCAGGCTTTTCAGAAGAATCCCGTCCTTGGAATGCAAGTAAGGGTTGTATCGTAGAAGGAACTACAGGGTGTCCAATGAGTTTAGAAACATAGGAATTCAGTGTATTATTATTCCTTGGAGATCAAAGCTGGTAGCTCCAAAGAAATCCTCCGAACCGTCCAGGAAGGGTAGATACAACGACTAAACACGTACCACGACTACAATGGTTGTCATGGCACGTGTTTAGTACATATTCTTTGAACATTTAAATTCATTTTCGTATGCTTCCAGACTCATGGGACACCCTATAGAACCTGGAGCATTCTTTTCCTCCGTCCCCAGTGTGTCTCGCGCGTAGCCCGCAACGAGGGGATTCGGCCGGTTCCCGCCGAGGAACAAAGTCGTGGGAAGTGAGGCCATGTCGTGCGAGGTGAGGCCATCGGAGCTTGAATTGCAGATATGAATTACTCATCTGCATCTGCTGTGATTCCTTCCATAGAGCCATAAAAAGGGTAAAAATGTTCCTCGTCAGTGCAGCGATGAGGTGGAAGAAGATGCGTCTAGACGGGAATCAGGATTAACCACATCCAGGATTACCCTTCCTTTTTTGTTGTTAATGATTGACGTCGCTTGCACGAAATGGGAAAGGTTGAGCGAGGTTTTTCGGATCAATTTGCTGCGGTCACGAATCTGGGAGACGGAGAATCTCGCCGATTTCCGTTGCGCCGGGAGCAAAGGGGAAGTCGATATCGAACCGACACGGAGTCTCGAACGACACGGAATGGGAGCGGCCTCCCAGTCGTCCGGGGAGGTCTCGATGGTTCTCGCCCTTTTCGATACTCGATTAATTAAGGGCGTAATTTCACCCTCGACGCATGCTTACATGATGCATGCAGGCGCGTGACACATGCAAATGACCTGGAGATGGATCGGTTCCCGGCGACGAAGGGGGGGAAGGAGGGAGGGAGGGAGGGGGGGGGGGAAGGAGGAGGGGGGGAGGGAGGCACTAATGGATCTCATTACGGGTCTTGCTTTCTTGGAATGCTTCGGGGGACACAATGGGCTGGGCTTCGTGGACGGGGGAGACCCAGGAAATGTGTCACGAATGATTTATATCCAACAGTCCATCATTCATTTCGTTCCGATTAAAAGGGGGGTGAAGGGAGGTGAGGGGAGAGCAGGGGGCTTGCATTATCGAACAAGCGGGGTTGCGATTAATCAACGCTAATTACGACGACGAGAGAGGTGTTCATGTACTTATACGTCATGGGGGGAGAGAGGGGGACTGCGAAGAGGGTTTCCCCAACGCGACGTGTTGGGATGGGGGAGACGAGGAGCCATCAGAAGGGGATGAGGGGCCATCTTCCCGGGTTGACAGGCGATCATTTTCCACTTTTCAATGGAATCTCCTTCCTCGCGAAATTCGAGACAGGCGAAAGAGAGAGGAAAAAGTGCGGATGGACTAGATGATCCCGAGATCGATGGCGAGGAATCCGCCGACTCCTCCGATCGAGAAGCCGACTCCCCCGATCGGGAAGCCGACTCCCCCGATCGAGAAGCTGGCTTCGATTCCGTTTACTTCAAAGGATGGAATCCATCGGCTCAATTTCATATCCTCTCCGGCGAAGACAAATGGAGCAGAGAATGGATGACGTGCCCCTCCATTATCCTCCATTTGGTTATGCTTTCAACTTCTGCACCGATGAAGGAGGGAGGAGGGGGGGAGGGGGGATGATCGCGTCTCTTCCTGGAATTGGCGCGGAGGCGAGCATTCGTGGTCGTTATGGAGCGGGTTTGTATGCATCTGCTCTGACGGGTGCTTTGCATAGGATATGGAGTCGGCATGAAATGTTCCCCTCGCGAAGGGCACACGCCCACGCATCCCAAAGTCATCTCGGAGGCATCCCCTAGAGACAGAGAAAGAAGTCCCACCCCCGACTTTCATGGAAACCCGAGGGCGACGTACATTTTTTGGGCGCAAGGAGATTCCAACCTTCACTCTCTGACCTGAGCGCTTGGCCTTCGATTTTTTTCCCTGTCGGTGTAACTACCGTTTCTTCCAAGTATAGGTATTTCGACAAGAAGAACTGTTTATTATTTTAGAAGTACCGCACTGATACACAACCACAGGTATCGGCCATCGGTAGGCTGCCGATGCCGATACCCAAAGAACACGCCAAACGAAGAAAAAGATTTAAAAAAAAGGCGAATGCGCCTCAGTAAATGATTCTCAACAGCAATAGGAGAAGATTGTGTCTGTCGCGATGCATCGATGCCCCCATTCTCCACCACGATGGTCACGTCCCTCCCCCTTGCCGATCGAGGCAATCAAGGACGGACGTCAAACCTCGGTCTGATCGAGACGTGAGCCGACTGAATCTCCCCAACTTGATGTATCGATGCATCTTTGATAGTTCTGGTCGATACGTCTATGCTTTCAAAACAGCCATTGCGACGATACTAAAAAATAAATAGTAACAGTCCTATTCCAAAGAGTATTTGGATTTCAGCTCTTCACCCACGTCACAATCGGCATCGACATCGGCGCCGCCCGATGGTTAGAGTTCATAATCGGCCATCGGCTAAATGTGGCCAACGGTACAGCCCAAAGAATCCTGTGATCCATTGGATCACGAGTTTCTGCACTAGCGCGTAATCATGTGTGCTACAGCTAATTTGCCGGGTCGGGCAAGAAATCGGCCACCCTGCGATACGACAGGCTACCAGATCCAATAATACGCCTTCGCTCTGGTATCCTTAGAAACACTCTTGCAACCTCTAACTTCGGAAGACTCAATCGGCCTGCTCGCCCGAGGATGCTCGAACCCGGTTCGGCCATCACCGCTAAGGCTTCTTTCTCACATCTAGAGAAGGGAGTGCCCTCAGAGGTCCCCCTTCCCGAACAGACCTAGAAACGAACGCCTGACCTGGCTCCTCACTTAGGTTCCTTCTCGTGGGAGCCAAGTCAAGTCCGACTTTGCGACCGTTAATCGGTCGTAGCTCACCTAGTTCCAGTGCGACGAAAACGAGATGTGGAGCTTTCCATCGAAACCTGTTTTGCTCTGATCCGATTGGGCCGAGTTGAGCTCTCGAAGATAAGTAGCGGTATTATTACATAGATAATCCTCTGGAGACGGGGAAGAGGTCCCATAGACGACTTTCAGAGACATCTTGGGGATCGAGGAACCATCTGGGCAAAGGAGATATTCCGAGGATGACGGTCTCTCTTTCAAAAGGGTCCAATTGGGGAATTTCGCTACTTAATGCCGTTTTGAAGACGTCGAGAAAAAGATGCATTCAAGGGAAGACGTCTGGAAGACCCTGGAACAATTCCTCTAAGTGGAACACGTCAATGAGACACATAAGAAATGTGACATTTGGTGGATTAAGTTTATTTACTCAGTTCTAATCTTAGATCATACAGGCACACATGCAGGGCAGGGGGGAGGGTTTACTGCTTTACTAGCATCAAGCTCAAAAAACAGAACTCACTTTTGTTTCAAATAGTCTTGGCATGCGTGGATCAATTTTTTCCTGGTCCTGTCTTGGGGGAATCATGTAAGGCTCCAAAGGTTTCCATTCATTTTCCTCAGATGTTCTGGCTCCTTGGATTCAGAGTAGATTAAATCAGAAGCGACTTAACAATGCACAAGGGATGCTTGCTGACGAAACTCACACAGATGAGAGCATACCAGCCACAATTACCATCATTTCCAATAACACCATATGAAGAAAGCTCACTCCATCGATTCCCAATAAAAAGAGGCCTCAAGTTAATGGCATTTCCTCACAACATGCAAGCATGATCAGCATTGCACAAAATCATTAAGAAACTCCATGGACAACTTTTTGCCTTTTGTGCAGGTCTGCACTGCATGGAAAAATGGAAGAAATTGCATGCCAATATCACAGATCAATCAGGCAAATGTAGTGGAGACATGCATGCACAACACAAGTTCCAAATTACTCTGGATTTACAAAATAGAAGACTTCAAATTGTCTACATACAGGCAATGGCAACTGCGAGGCAACTCATGCTGATTTGATTTTATATTGCAGGTGGAAGTATCTACAATGCAATGAGAAAAACATGTTCCAAATGCACTACTACAAGGCACAACCACAGATGGCATTTAAAAAAAGATTTTTGATTGCAGTTCTCATGAAAGACATTTCCCAACCCTAATGCAAATTCCTCAACTGAGGAGATCTGATCTCAGGACATTCTTCACAAGTAAGCTCAAGGTAAAAGAAGTTCAACAGTCGTAAACAGCCAAATGAGCAGGAAATGCACCTGAAGGGGCTTCAAGCAAAACCAAAAAGTTGCCCTATATGAATATGTTCAGAACAGTGAAATACAAGAGTACTGGATCACAAGTCATAACTGCATAAATTGGCAATGGATATCACTGGCATAGCTCAGGTCTTCTCATAAAATTCATTGTAAACGGGGCGCCCAGCCAGCTCCAGGAGATACCGGTCAGGATTCTCTTTCCAGTCAATTTTCAGCTTCATCTGAAACCAAAATTAAGGTAATATTCTTCAGCAGGCAAAAGAAGACTACAAGGAGACAAAGTAAAGAGTGAAACATACATTGCGACTCTTTTCAGCCTGTTGCACTTCCCATTTCTTCTGTTTCACTTGTGCATCTCTACAAGAGAAATTATTCAAAAAATTAAGCCATGGAATATTTTGTAAATCCAACACAAAGCAGCAATTAAGAGAATAATATTTTGGATGATCACTTTGAAGAAACAATGGCATGGAATGGACTTACTTGGTTTCAGCATCTGCACACCCATAAGCCACAATCTCAAGCAATGTAAGGGGAATCTGCTTGAAATTTATCATGGTGAAGTTCGGATTGATGGACAAGGATGGGTTTCGGGTATCAGCACCAACTTGGAGGCCCATGCGATACCCTCTGGCTGAGGCATTGTAGTAAAAAAGCTTTTCTCCTCCTGTATAGCAAGAATTTAGATGATATAAAGAGTAGAATCAGCAGAAAAACTGATAAGATATGCAGACTGTCCATACTTTCCAATACATAGAACTGCGGGAGGATTTGGATGAGAATGCAATCTTTATTCCCCCAGTAGAGATTGGAATCTCTCCATTCAACATCTGCAGCCAGGCAGAACAGATGGTTTCCCTCTCCCCGTAGAAACACCACAGTCGGTCCACGATAATTGAACAGATGGTACTGGAATCTAATTTCAATCATGTCTCCTATCAACTCCACTTATCCAAGAATGTGTATCACTTCAACAAAATGAACACAGAAGTGTCTGAAAAAAATTGGATACATTACTTCAAATGTTTGTAAAAATGTAGTAAGGGTGAGTAAGGTGTAGTAAGGGTGAAACCTCAAGGTTTCAAGTGAAACCTGGCTGAAGCTGGGCTTTACTTAGCTTGTATACTGTGATGTCCCAGTTAGAGCTTTCATTTGAAAAACCATATATATGCTCAAACAATCTCAAATAAATCATATCAATAAGTCAGTTCATATTTAAATACTAACAATTTATCAAAAGTGATTAGCATGAAGTGAGATTAAAGGGGCTTACATGCCACAGCAATGACAAATCCATCAGATTTAACTTTCAACAGAAGCTGAACTCTGTCATTATGCATGCTCATTGTAAATGCATCAAGATTTTAGACAACCTAGTGTCATAAGGATGAAATCGAAATGTTCTAACCTATTTAGTCCCATTCCATGGGCAGAGCTGTCATACAGAAGGCTCCAATGCGTTGGTGTGCTCATAGTTGAGATCTACAAGAGTCAAATAAGGTTGACCTAGAATAACTGCTCACATATAGAAATCATGAACTTTCAACTCCCCATATTGCTGAACTGTATTAATGAGATCTCTCTAAGCCTTTTACCTTAACTAAAAATCATGTCAATACCTCTGAATCCTGACTGATGAAGAAATTACACAATCACCCATTTTATGCATAAATTTGCTTTTAACCTTTTGGGGTCCAAGTATTTTGAATATGTTGACATTGTCACTCTGAACTTTTTCCCTACTTTGGTATTACGTCAACATGAGATAACTCAGGCATAGACCCCAAAAGGTTCATAATATAAAAAGTTTGGTCATTAGTAAGAGCATCATGATGAATATAAAATATCTAGGCAACAATGATCTAATGCAGCATTTCCAAAACTGTGGCATACAAGGCAATGCAGACAGACAGACAGATTTAAAAAAAAAACTTGCAAAATAAAGTACTAGTCTTATACAGGGTGTCCCATAAGTCAAGCATCATGGGAAAATTCAAGTTGATTTCTATTATTTCTGGTTTTTTTTTTTTTTTTTCCTCCAGGATTTGAGTATTGAAACTGATAGTGGAAGATGTCAATAAGCAAGGACAAATGTGTGGGACACAGTCAGTGAGAGGTTGCTGAGAGATTCAATAATGACTATCTGTATCGGAAGCCAATAACTCAAAGTTGAGGAATGTTCAAGCAGAATGGTAACATTGCTTGAGAAAATGCATTAAGAATAATGGCGAACATGTTGAACATATGTTTTTTAGTGTCATTATGGAATAAAATGTGAATTTTCCTATGATGCTTGACTTATGGGATACCCTGTATACTCTGTAGGGCATGCATATAAGGGAGAAGTGGTGGTACACTACATATGCAGCCTGGAGGCAAGAGGTTTTCAGAGATAAAAAGTTTGGGTATTGCTGATCTAATGGTAGAGTAGAATCTTGGTAGCAGAGGGAGCAAGACTCACACAATCCCTTTAAAGGTCAAAGAAATGCAGCATGGGAAAAATGTTGCCAAAAAGGTGAATGGGCACATGAAGAAGTGAACCATACATAAGCAACAAAAATAAAGAAACTTACCAGACTCATGATGAAGGAATGAGGATCTTTAAGGATGACATTTGAGCAGAGTGCACCAGGCAATCCTTTGTTATTACATTTGCTTTTAATGTAGGAAGCAGGAAGAGCTGTAGAAGCAGCCCAAACAACAGGTGCATTCAGAATTTCACTTCCGTCTATTCTATTCCAAATCATCATAGGTGTGGTAGGTGAATGTGGCTCTGCATCCTTCGTACAGTCTTCCTCTAGCAGTGCATGATATGCTCCATACTCCTAAAATGGAAGGAGATGAGCTGCTGCAAACTCAAATATTCACAAAAACTATAGTTGAGTTATAAAATTTCTCAGATCCCCCTCCCCTCCCTTCCCCCCCAATGAAAACCCTGCTTATATACCCTCCTTCCCATGATTCTAACCAGAATAGTCCAGCATATGTAGCAATGTAACTGAGTAGCTGCTCATAAAAATCAATGAATATTAACATCACAAATTGATGTATTAGTGATGGGGTTGAAAAAAAAAAAAACTGCTTTGGAGGAGTGAAAGAAGACACTCTGGTGATGTCAAATCAAGAACTAAGGCTCCAAAGGCCTTAGCTAGACTACATAACCATAGATTATGGAGAATTGGTTACCAGAAAGATTGGTCCAGAAATGAACATTTCATGGACATCATTATCCTTAGCCAAACTAAGCAAATCTCAGCACCCCTAAAGAAAAGCTGAGTAGAAACAAGTTATTGTGGATGTTTCTGCATTTCTATAGCTCAAGCCCAGCTGCAGATGAATTATTTGAAAGTGCCCATCCCTCATGGCCCAGGAAAATATTTTTATGTCCCCCGGTGAGGAAAAAGAAAATTCACACAAGTATACATTATTTGATATTTTTCCCATTCAGAACTAAGATCTAATCTCTCGTTTCTCCAGAGCAGATGAGTAAAAAAGTAACACCATTATTGTACAGCATCCTAGAATTTTCCTGTCATACCTTTTCTTTGAATTCGATGGGTTGGTCATAAGCTTCCACAGAGACAGATCGGTGCAAGATGGGGGCAAATGCAGTATGGCCAACTGTGACTTTGTGAGTTACATAGTTGTGAATTGGCAGCAGTATGCGTGAACAGTTCTTCAGGAACCAAGAGTGTATATAGGAGACACTAACTTCTTCTTTTCCATGCATCTAGAGGAAACAGATATGAAATCAGTCCATCAAAGGTGAAAGCTTACTGGGAATCAAACTTACAGCACCCTCAACAATGGCCTTGAGGACGTCATCCAAATGCTTTGAACCCAGGAGGTGACCATGCAAGGCTATTGAGTAAGTAGTCACCAGCAATGAAGACAGCTGAGACCTACTGATCTCCTTCTTGCCTTCAGCAAACATCTGGTCAGAGGAAAAATGTGTATGGTATCAGAATATTGTAGTCTTGTCAAGGTAGATGTCCAAGAATGTAAAAAAAAAAAACAAAGAAGAAAACTTGTATATAGAATAAATTTACCTTGATGTACAGCTCAAGAAGCTGCTCGTCAGAGCGAGGGGAGAGAAAATTCTGCATTGCTGAAATGAAGTGTTCTTTGCTTAGGATGGTTGAAGATTGAACTCCAGGTGTCAATGAGATGAGGTACTTGAAGTGCTTGATGCCCAGAGTCTCATTGCCCAAAAATAGGTAATTCTGTCAGAAAGAATCATGTGAGAATACATGAAAAAAGCTAAGGCCTGAATGCTGAAACCTCCTTTAGTTAATGCTCCTATTAAAAAAAAAAGCATGGACTCTATAGAGTGAGAAGTGCTCTTTAACTAAAAGGCCCCTTTATCTCCCTTAAATGAAGTTTGTGCATTAGGGGCATAAAGAGGCTACCAAGATAAATGAGAGGCTCAATAAAAGTGGGACTTGGACTTTTTGATGTAGTAAGTCAACTGATGACTTTATGAGTCAGACTCCAATACTTCTCAGTATTGGAGCTGTGACTGGATAGATGCTGTAAACTGTATACTCATGTTCTCCCCTCCCCCAAAAAAACACAACACTCAAGAGTACTCACAACTCAGCCTCAGGTAGTTTATCTGAAATTAAGAAGTTTCCATGAGATTGTATCATAGAAGTCTGTGCTATTCTCAAATTTCAGCATGTCTTCTGTAAGCCTGCTAAAAGATTTGCTCTCAAAACAATCCTGAATCATTCAATTCTTGCAGCATGCACTGCTGTGAAAAAGGATTGGGGTATAGATGATGCAGTGAGGCAGGTTGATGCTTGAGATGGGGATAGGTGAAGGGACAGTCCCAGGCAAGCAGGCAAGGGGGTGTATTGGTGTTATAAGGTGGAGAGGCCTAGTAGAGATGAGGTGGAGTGAGCGAGTCATAGGCTGGAATGCACTGAGGAGTTCCAGTACCCTAGAATACAGTGTTTATCAAATGAATTCACCCCCCTCTGCAGAAGGCAGTGGCACTACTGGCTGTGAGAAGAGAGTGAAATCTGTTTTTCATCCCATGAACAGTTAAACTATCTACATTTGCGATCCCAGTCAATTACCGAACTACCATAGACCAGAGTGATACATTAAAGGAGCTTTGCAAACTTGACATAACACAACCAATCAGAACAAGCAGGAACCAACATTCTTTGAACAAAGTTTACGTGAAGTGAACTTTGAGGAATCTCAGAGCAACAAAGTAAAAACAATACCTTGTCATCTATGCAATCATGAAATCAGTCATGGTATCACTGGGATGCTTTTTATTTTGACCTTACAATTTTATCATCCATAAAAAGACACACCTGGAAAAAATTAATAACTCTCAATATTACAGAAATCTAAAGATGAGTCATATGAAAATTCAACTTGTCAACTTCCTGGAACCTTCCCCCTCAATTTTTCTCAGTTTTCACAGAAGCTTCCTTTCCCTTTCCCTTCAAGGAAAACCTCAAACAGAAGGTGGTCTATGTTTGATGTACTTTTCAGCAAAGTAGAAATGGACAGGGATACAGTCGCTGCCTATGTCAATTAGTAACATATAGAAATGCAATAAATGTGAAGAGGATAAAATGTAGATGAGGAGAAAGTCAAATATGCTTTTTATTGGACACAATACGCAGAGCACAAATGTATTTTCTCCTCTCTGAGTCTAAATAATGCTAATGAAATCCTTTGTTAGTCAATGGTTATCATTGATGTGATTCTCAAGATCGAAATGAATGACAGAAAGAAGTTAGGGGCATGTCATCATCACCTTAAAAGAGTCTTTCATAAATTACGAGGGGTGTTCGAAAAGTAATAGGAATTTATTTATTAAACAAGAACGATTAGACCTAAGGTAACAAGAGTCAGCCCATACGTAGGCCAACATGTAAGCATTAGGACCTGTCAATGCCATTCAATACACTCAGTCCATTCTCGAGTTATAGGCCATGCTGTCCCTTGCTATTTTTCTATTATGGAAGACGCGGTGAAAAATCAAAGGTCAATAATGTTCTTTTTGTGGAAGGAAGGAGTCAAAACTGTTGATATTGTCAAGCGCTTGCAGTGTGTTTTCAGAGATGCTGCTGACTCAAAAAGCACAATTTATTTTTGGATTAACCGCTTCAAGAGTGGTCGGCAAAGCCTTGATGATGACCATCGGACTGGAAGGCCCTCCACTTCAGTTAATGAAGAAAATGTGGCAGCCGTGGAAGAGCTTGTGATGGAGGACAGGCGAGTGACCGTGGGAGAGATTGCCAGGGCCCTATGCATCAGTTTCGACTCTGTTCACTCGATTCTGCACAACCATTTGGGCATGAGCAAAGTTTCAGCGCGATGGGTACCTCGGCTGTTGGGGCCAGACCAGAAGCTCAACCGTACAGTGACATGTGGTCAGCTTGTGGACTTGGCGAAGAGGTACGGTGAGAACTTTTGGCTTCGGATTATTACTGTAGATGAGACCTGGGTGCCATACTTTAATCCGGAGACCAAATCCCAATCGATGGAGTGGCGGCGCCCTGATGAAGGCCCTCCAATAAAGGCTCGATCAAATCCGTCCGTTGGCAAGGTCATGATGACCGTTTTTTGGGATTGTCAAGGCATTATCCTCATAGACTATCTTCAGAGAGGTCAAACGATAAACGCCGAATACTATTCTGGTTTGCTGAAGGGCCCCTTGCGCACCCAACTGATCAAAAAACGCCCAGGAAAGCTCCACGCACGACCATTACTGCAGCAAGACAATGCCAGGCCCCATACTGCAAGACGAACTATTGATGCTATAGCCGATCTGCGATGGGAGTTGCTGCCTCACCCACCCTACTCTCCTGATTTGGCTCCAAGTGATTACCACCTATTCCCGGAACTGAAGAAACCACTTCGGGGCAAGCGTTTTTCTTCTCTACAAGAGGTCAAGGATGCGGTAGAACGTTGGACTAAAAGCACACCAAAGGAATTCTTTAATGATGGCCTTAGGAAGTTAGTCTCTCGTTGGAAAAAGTGTATTGCACTCCAGGGTGATTATATTGAAAAGTTAAGTGTAAATAATGATGAATAAATATGTTGATTGGGAAAAAATTCAAAATTCCTATTACTTTTCGAACACCCCTCGTAATATGTTATTTCATGGGAAAACAAAGTGAGATTTTAATGGAGAAACTCAGAATGGATGAATACACATTCTCCAACCACTGAGAATGCAGTACATAGCGATGTGGGTGACTTCTACCTTGATTTGCTATTATTAGCAGTTATAGTATCTGCAGATGCATCATAGAAAAGCATGGCGAGTCAAAGGAGTCCATAGTAAGAGGGGGGTGAATTCATTCAACAAGCACTGTACTGTTATGTTTATTCATGGAACATCTGTCTCAAAAAAGGTGGGATGCATATTTCACATGCTGGTGAAGTAAAAAAAAGCAGAGCAAAGCTTTGCTTAGAAACACCACTTACCAGATAGATGGCTTGTGCAATCCCCTCAACATGGTGCTCCTTCATGGTGGCCTTAGACAATCCCTGAGAAAATGCAATACATTATTGCCCCTTTACCATCTCTGAGAAATATTACCCACATTTGAAAGTGCTACATGTCAACAGTGAACTTCTTGCTGCAGGTGAATCAATTTCTTCTCACCTTGATTAGAAGAAAATGAAATCACCTTTTCAATTACTTCACCCAACATGAAGAGGGATTGCTATCTAACTCCTTGAGCTGTCGGGAAAGAAGGGCCTACAGTGATACATCTTTCTCTCTGGCTAGATGGGTCATGAGTAGGGAGCAGATTTTTATGCAAATGCATATTTTTTCTGCTGCCTCTTATGAACATGCAACCCAGATAGGATCATGTCTCATTGGTAGAGGAAGCCATTTATGCCATTTTAAAAATGCATAAAAATGCATATTTTCACATTTTTCTCAGCATGTGCATATTTCTGTATATATGAGCATATTTATGCATATTTTGCCCATTTTTATGGAAAAATTAAGGTTTTTTCAGGAAAATATACTTTCTTTATGAGGTACTGATGAAAATTTCCATGCAGTTATGAAGTCCGACCAGCAGCATTGCAAGGGGGGGGGATGAGATGGTGAAGCCCCCTAACTCTGCTCTAAATTCATCCATCATCTCCACCCTTCCCCAGAAGTTTCGGAAATTCTAGTCCCCATTTGTTTCCCTTAGCCCTCTATTGGCGAATTCCTGGTTTTGCTGCTGGCTGTGACTGGAATAGACAAACTATACCCAGCAGAGGCATGTAATGTACATTAAAGTTCCTTCTTCCGAAAAATTCATACAGCATTTAAGAAAATATGTTTTTACAGGTTTTCCCATATTCGTGCATATTTCATGCATATTTTGGCATTATTAAGCACATATGTATGTGCATATTTTAGGACTTATTAGCACATAAAAATCCACTCCCTGGTCATGAGACATGGTTTCTGGGAGGGAATGGGAGATGATCCATGTTTGTCCTATTAGCTTAAGATCTAACAAACATTTTGGACTATCCTTCCTCCCATACTAAATGACAGCCTCTACTCATCCCTCAGGGGTTACTCTCCTGGAGAGGATGGGAGGAGGAGAGTTTTTTTTATAATGCACGTTTAAGATCTCTCCTTGCTCATCCTTGAGTCTAGCCTTTATCAAAGTAGTCATAAGGAAACTCAACACCTGAGCAATGATTTTTTTGGTTCCATATTTCCTGCTACCCTTCCTCCCTCTGTAGGACTGGCATGGCAAGGTGGTTCTTCTTACCCAATTACATCAAAATCTGTCATTGATGTATGACATCACTTGAATCACTTCTTTCATTATCTCTGTGACATCATAACACACTGGACCATACTACAACTCCCACCTAGCAATCACTTGTTCAACTTTTGGCCAATCTCTGAAACCTATGGCAGAATTCTACTAGCAAGGCTCCCTCAGGCTGCAGTGGTATCATGTCTAGTAGTGGTTTCTTTCCTTTGACATGATAGGGAAAACAAGATTCTTTTTTTCACTTGGGATGGCACACAGCAGTGAAGGCTTCAATTTTCATTGTCTTTAACATATTTTAGACATATGGTGGTTGGACTTGCTTCCAATGCCTTCATCTACAAATGCATGCATCAGCACCCTCTCCCTAGAATCACACTGGAACCTTTGATGCATTTCACAGCACCATAGTCCATGCCCAATACTGTTAGAAGGGCAAGCTCACCAATACTGCAGTCAGCTGACCAATCACATCACTTCCTGACAGGCATGTTCAGTACCACAGCCCATTTCCCTCCTACATCAGCTCTTCTATTTTGCTAGTTCCCCTCTTCTATCTACCATGGATACACTGACCCTATCCCAGAGTTGACACCCAATGGAGTCAGTATTGGGGAACTACTGTCATATTTCACTGTCACCATTGTGCTTTTCTAGTTTCTGCAATGACATTAAAAAATTCAAATGAACATTATTCTGATTTTCCATTGAAGCCAATGTTGATATGAAGCTTCTTGAGGCTAAGCAATTCTTTGAACAGCAGGACATTGAAGACAGCTAGATGCCAATTTAACCTAGTATCACTTGTACTCATGGAATACTTCACTGAGGTGAACTACTTTTCCTGTAGGAAAAAGGATATTTCTCAGACTCTTGGAATCACTGGAAGGTAATAATCCAAATAAAAATGAAAATGCATTTTCTAAACCAGTGAGAAGGAAACTGAAGAGACCAAGAAGAAAAAAAATAACTTTTTAGTTCTCATGAGAAAAAAGGTGAACTACATGATTTTTAATCACATGAGTCATGTTTGACTTCAGCCCAAACCCCCACAATGGCATAAAGCAGCAGATATTTAGCATAACTGTTAGCTAGCTTCTACAGTCAGGTCTGAAACAGGCAGATGCAGGTCAAGGAAAATTTTTATTGACTGCAAAAACCTCTGAGAAGTTTACCACTTACAGGGAGATTTATTAATTCAAGAAAACCTGTTATACTCAAGCTACCCAAGTAAAAGAACCATTTCCAGTAGGATATATCTTGCTCTATCTACCTGTGTTTTGGTATTCACTGAATTTCATTGATACAATCACTGCACAATCAAGTGAAAAGCCTTACCTTGGCCAGTTTGGAGAGAAACTCTGGTGTGGAATGGAAATTAAAAGGTTTTGAAGGTGGGTGCTTCTTGGTATGCTTCTCAACCTCAGCCTTTGACCCATTCTCCCCTTCAAGTTTGTCCTTGAGATTTTTTGAAGAACCACTCTTATGGAGAGCAACATGAAGGAATCCCCCTAAGGAATGGCCAAGACCTGATGACTGCTCCTGGTGACCTCCATCTGGTGCACTCAAAGAAGCACCCATCTTGGGCCTTCTGTGTTCTACCCTTGGGCTAGCACCAATTGCTTCAAAGGTGGCTAACCCAGGAGCTTCCAAGAGATGTGCAGAAGCTTCATGACTTTCCTGCAATGAGAAAACGTAAGCATTTTTTTAAAGCTAGCTCTACATATTTTGTGCCTGCATGATAAAGCCTATATCAAATTTTCATTGTTACCTAAGCCTTGGATCATAGCCTCAATCCATGCTATTGTCAATTTTTAACACGTTGACTGCCAAAACCATATTGGCCTGGTGACTTTCCTGGGCCAAAATAAATTTTTACATGCCTTGGAGAAGTTGAAGCATGGGGTGCACCAGTGCACCCGATGGTGCAGGAAAAGGGACTTAGTGAGGTGCACTGGTGCACCCCATGGCGGTCAACCTGTTAAATGAATAATAGCTCTTTGCAGGTAGATATAACCCTTTTCTATACCACCATTGCTTATAAATTATAATCACCATAACTATATTAACCATGGAATCATGTTTAATCTTAGTGTTTAAAAATATAATTACATCAGTAGCACTTACAGAATGTTAGTAAGCAAGTGCAAAGTAATCCATACTACAATGCTTTGAAATAATAACTATGGCTCAGAGTGACTTCCAATCATAGTAGTGCAGGAAAAGCAGTTGTCTACTATACTCTCATGATAAAACCCGGAAAATATTAAAAGGACAAAAAATGAGAAAATGAAACAGGGACTTTTGCTGATATAAAACATTTAGCCACTATCATTCAGGTACTACTTTAATGTATATAAGCCCCATGAGCATGAGCCTCACTCTCATAAATCCTTTGACTAGCATGGACATCTAAAGACACCCTGGAATTTTGTCCTTAATTATTGATTTAAGAAACGAAGATGTGGACAATGCAAATTTTGAGGTAGTAAGAAGTATAAGTCACTTTGATGAAAGCCAGAGTGACAGTAGTGACATTGGACGATCAGCTGATTCCTCATGTAGCCAGTCTGTGTGAACCAGCAAGGATATGCTGCCTGGCTATCTGCAATTCTAAGTTGAAATTCCTAGGCTAGAAAAATAAATTTCATGGATGAAGATTTTATCTTATCAACTCATACAGCATCTGACAACAGAAACAAACCAATATGCAGCAAGTACGTACACAAATAAATTTATCTGGCATTTATGTGTGCAAGTTGCAATGTGACAAATTGCAAAACTCAGTGCTTCAACTTCTACCACTCCAAGAAGAAATACTACTTTCCAAAGCCTTGAAGGCTGCTAAACTGACTGGAATAATAATGCAGCTGATCTCCAGGGTATGTGCAAAATTTTAGTAAATTTTTTTGGCAAAAACCAAACTAACAATCAAAACTCCAAGTATACTCAAAACTCCAAAATTTAGCCACATTTGATGGAAAGCTCTTTTTCATCAAATGTGGCTAAATTTTGCTGCCAGTTTAGGGTGAGGTATTTAAATTTTCAACAGCAAGTGAAAGGATGAATGCAGATGAAAAATCTTGATGGCATCAGATCCTTCAAGTTTTTGAGTGGCAACATACCCTGAGGTTGCAAGCATAGTCTGCAGGTTCTCTACTAAGCTTTACCTGATGAATTGGCATAACTACAAGGCAATAAAAAAATTAATTCATAACCAAGACTAACATCTCACTAACAGACTTCACCAAACACTATTATGCATGATTTTCGTGCTTCTTCCCCAAAATTTCTTCGACAAGAACACCGTTGTCATCATCAGAGACACGGCGATTCCTGAAAGTGAATGGTTTTTATTATTGTTTCCCTAAGAATATATCATTTATGTAACTTCCTTTAATAAAGAAAACTTCATAGAAAATAAATTTGAAAATCCCTTCAATTTATACTCTCGGAGAAAGGTCAAATGCAGCATCTGGAAAGGTTAAGACAAGCTTTCGGCTACTTGGGGGAAGGGTTACTAGGGATTTCAGATGAGATGCGCATACCAGGATTTCGATCCAATCGTATTGTGAGAAGATAAAAACGTCCGAGGAAGCATGTTCCAAAACGAGGACGCCTCGCCTTGAACGAAGACAGGCGGAAACTCTTGGGAAACTTTTGCTCGTTATAGAGAGAAAGTGCAGACCTCCTTTCTTTGAACATGTGTTCCGTCAGCGAGCAGCCATCGTTGTCTAGCGCGGCAGAGACATCTATCGGGGTTAGCTGTATTCATGTGCCTGTCAGGCCGAGAAACGATATCATTTTTCTCCGAGACATTGAGTGTTAACATAATGGCATGCCATACGTTACTGTGAAAGTCAGATGGAATTCGCAGAAGACAGAATAGACAAGATTTTGGAATCTGGCTTATGCGATAACGTCAACCTGACCGATGGCACGCAAATCCGATCGTCATCTTACCTTAGACCTTCAAGATGAATTAAAATACAGGAGAATGACATTGATGGATTCGCAGGGAAAATCCCTTAACCATGTCAGATATAGTGTCAAGAGGTCCACGCACTAGGCCAGCTTCCTACTACGCACTCAAGTAGGACGGGTAAAAAATATTTAATTAGAATTATCCCCATTTGCAGGGAGGAATCTCAAATATGTTTCTTGGTTTTTCTTTGTTGCAAGTGAATTCAGTACCGGAATATTCTTCGATTTTTTTTCGATCGCAGACGCAATAATTCAATCCTACTTTCGCCTCTAACAGTAATCAAGATGTAGAGATGATTTGGTGTTTGCTGCATTTTCGGCTGCGAAACTAGATTCTTTTAATTGTTGTCTGACGACTGGATGAACCGATGGTAAATTTTCTCAGTTCATCTCTTGTAATTGTCATCTCAAATTCGGTCTTTTCAAGTCTTATTTTTAGTTACTTTCTGCTTCACATAAGACTGTCCGGTTTTGGGGAAAAAAAAAGGCCAAATAATTAGAGCTGGAACTTGGCAATTTAATCAAATTTGATCGATTAACGTCGAGTTTGTGATTGATGGCAGAAAAAAAATGGCTTCAATTCCTTGGTGAATTTTTCCCATGCTATACATCTATGAGGGGGGGGGGGGGGGGAAAAAGGGGNATACAGCTATGAGGGGGGGGGGGGGGGAAATAAGGGTAAGCAAGCTCGGTGACTTGCAGACTCATTACCACTAAATTCAATTAATTCCCTCTTATTTTCATCCATTTTACCTTGAAGCTCACACTGTTTCAACGGAAGCTTGGAAATAGGTCCGCGTATCTTGCTTGATCTTACGGCTGTTCCCTTAGATTTTAATCGAAAATTCCCTAGGGCAGTGGCGTTGGGAAGGGGGGGTTTAAGGGGTTAGAACCCCCCCCCCCTCCCATGGGCTACCTGGTCAGTGACACTGACAGGCATATTTCCACCTTCTTTGGGGATTCAATTTTAGCTATACCCCTTCGAGGAAAGTCCGATGTCCGTTCACAGACTCAAGATGCCAGACCGCGATTTCTTCAAAAAGGTTCTGGGAAGTGGAGCTAGGCGTAGGGTTGAGTGTCTACCTGGTCTAACCACACACCCCCCCCCCCCC